TTTATTTGTTATTTCCTGTTTTTTGTCACCTGTTTTTTTTACCTCATAGGCGGAGTAAAATAAGACCTCCAGAGGCAAACAGATACAATGTCTTATTTTTAATTTTAAAGGGATTTTACAGAATAACAGCTATATTCAACTAATGGAAAATATGAATTTTATGGGTATATTTTTTTACAGAGATAACACAGTACACAACATTGATCTGGTATTTTGTCAGAAATATTCATCAGCAGAGTTGAAATAACTATTTATTTAATATATCTCTCATAAAATTGCTTTTTTTAACTTAATTTACTTTTTATTTACTATTTTTTATTATTTACACCTTTACTAGGGTAAAGATTCAGTGGGTCCTATTTACCCCACCCACGTCTAGATTTTTATAGAGATTATATATAAAAAATGTTGAATCTAATTTAAAACTAGTGGGGTGTATGGCATCGTGCCTTAAGGCAAATTGCTGGAACTTCCCGTACCGTAACGAAAGGAAATGTTCGAGGAATATTAAATGTTTTCAAATAGATTAATATAAATGAATACTGTAACATTGTTTAATATTTATAAGAATTCAATAAACTGAATTGCAAAGTTGAAATTATTTATTTAAAGTATATTAGAACTTAAGTCAGAAATAAAAATAAAATCTGAATTATTTTCGATATACAAAAAAATTTTTTTTTGAAAAAAAAATTAAAAAAAAATTGAAACAATTTTTTTTTTCAAAATCAGCACATCTCCCTATCAATAGGAATCGAATGTTTTTTGAACCATTCAAATCGGTTGATCCGTACGCCCGAAAACGTGGACGAAAAATTGTATCCATACATACATACACACACACACATCCATTATTTCTGAGGTAACTTTAATATTATTTCTGAGGTATGCCAAAATGTTCAGAAACCTTCAAAACGTCGAGAAATGTAAAACATTTCAATTTCGATTTTCGGCCCATTACAATAAATTACCCTACGGGAAGTTAATTAACAATACATCTTATAAAACAATTAAATATCGTACACTCAGAAATAATATTAAAGTTTTGTAAACTAAACAACAGTGCTCACAACAAAAAAAACTAACAACGAAATAAAATGATTTTTAATGGATTTTCAAACATTGATGCATATATTCCGATAGCAAAGTCTTAGGAATCAAGGTTATACATATTTTGCCCTCTACTTTCAAATATTGCTAAAAAATTCTTAACTTGGTTTTGAAGTATCGGTGGTGGACGTTTTTATCCTCTCTACAAAATCTTGCATAACCAAACTGTTATCCGTCCAGTCACAAAATCATTGTGCGTAGAATCAAAAAAATATCTCCTTATCCCTTTAGTAACAATGTTACAATAAAAACATTCCAGTCGCACAATTGCAGTTCCACTTGAATGAAGCCTGTGCAAATAACTACATATTCGCGAGATGTTCATATTGACCGCCATCGTCCATCGTCCACTTAACATTGCGATAGTTTTTACTCTTTGATTCTTTCCGATTATGGATTCGATTTCTTTCTGATCCCAATCAAATCAAAAGGCAAAAGGCAATGAGATGAGAACGACGACGGGATAATCGACTCGGCTTGTTAAGACAGTTGGTATTCAGTATTCAGCATTCGGTATACTCGGTATTCATTCACATTCGTTACCGAGAGGATGATGATGGGCAGTGACAGACACTCCCCCTGCACGACATTATAAATCGAAACGTGGTTCTCGACTTCTACGTTCTAGTTTGATATCAGAGTCGAACTTGGAGGAAATAATGCAGACAAATTTAGGGAAATATTTTCCATCGTAACAAAATCTACATTGGACAAAGATTTCTATTCTGATGTCAAACGATTCAGAATAACTTGAAACGTCTGTAAAACATAGATTTAGCAAGTCAGTTTTCCTACGAAACGAGAAGGAATATCTGACAGGAATAAGCAAGAGCTGAGATAATAATTTCCGAATATCTGTATTCAGAATAGGATGTGATATTGCTTCAATCAACGTACTTAGTATATTTTGATTTATATTTTCAAATTGAAATTGGCCTTTCTTTTGCCTAGTTGTTACAGCTATGAATTTCAAATCAGAGGTTCCAGATTCGACATCTGCTATATAGATGGCAATACGTTTCCAAGTGAAAATAACTTTTTGTACTGAATGGACCAAAAACATATTTGTTTACTTTTTTAATAAAATATAAAATTTATTGTGTGGTTAAATATTTGTATTAATTAGAATCCTAATAGTCACAAATAGGGAATGCAATACCGGTATACCGAATTACCGGTAAACCGCCCGATTTTTCGGCGGTATTTTTACCGGTATTTATCCCAAAAATACCGGTATTTTCGGTATTTTTAAATAAGCGCTATTTGATACATAATACACTAAAGTTTAAATTTCTCGGAACAAATTTATCTTTAAATTCCATAATCGCATAAACAGCTATATCTTCAAGTAATTCTATAAGATAAACAAATGTCAAATATTATCTCATATCGTGTTACAATAAATAGAATTGGACTGATAGATAATGATGTTTGTTTCATCTTTTGTAAAAATGTAACGGATTTTTAAGTGGTATTTGCGCCAAAATATTTTATATCATACAGATTACCCCTGCGTAATCTTAATTTTTTTTAACTTTATACATAATAATTATGATAATTACAAAATATTTTTGCTTCTTATTACATTTACAAAATATTATTTTTCGAAAACGTTTCGAAGTTTGAAAATACTATAGAAGCATCACATTGTTTTAAATAATAATACTCAACCATTATAGTAACTTATTATTTATCTCGACAAAGTAACCGATCTTAAATTAGTGTAGAAAAATTGTTTTTTTAAATATTGGAGATTATACTAATTTAAATCATCGGATATAGACAATACAGTTTATTATAATAATGCAATATGATCTTTTATGAGTTCTTTGGTCTTTCTTACTCATAAGTTTGTTTTTGGTGAAAAGTACTCAATATACTCGATAGTGATCAGTGGCGGATTAAGCTTTCTGCCGCCCTAGGCCCTATCCGTTCAGGCGCCATTTTTAATAGACAAAATTTTACTTTTTTAATTAAACAATTTATTTTAAATTATTTAGATATATTTTTTAACTTTGCGTTGGATAAGTTATAGTAATTTTAAATTGTAATTTCGGAGTTACGGAACAAAGAGAGTGCAGAAAATAGAAATCTAGTTTTTGAGAGAACGGAGCATCCAATGTGAATGATCTAAACAACATTCAATTTGTAATAATGGGGAGAAGTGGTAATTAACTTTTGGCAAAGGCAGGTCCAGCGTTTTGGAGATACCCAGGCTAAATGTGCAAAAAATGGTGCAAAAAAGTTTTTGAGAGGACTAAGCGTCCGATTTGAATGATTCAAAGAACTTTTTACTTATTTTAACAAAATAAGTAATTTTGAAAAAAACATTTTGTTTCAAATTTTTTTTTTTCAAATTTTTTTTTTCAAAAACATTTTTTCTGTGTATATCGAAATTAATTCAAATTTTATTTTTAATTCTGACGAAAGTTTTAAATCTCACATATACTAAAGAATTATTAGATGCTTTTAAAAAGAATAATAGTTATTGACTTGAAATTAGAGGTTGAAAAAATACTACAATGCAAAGAGATAAAATATATTATATCAAAAACCATATAACTCTTCGCATTGTAGTATTTATAGTATTTTTTCAACTAATTCAAAATTAATAATTATTGACAATATTCTTTCTGAAATCATCTAATAATTCTTTATGAAGTTCTGAAAAAAATTTAAAAATAACATTAACCACATATTAAAAAGCAAAGATTATTTTGCAAAAATTTTATTTCAAGATATTTCGATATTGGTTAATTATCAGTGACGCGCACACATATATTGGCACATTTATGTTTATTAATTAACATAATTATTTAAATATTATAATTTTGATAATTATATGTACTTAATTAGAATGCAACTCTTTTCCTCACCACCCATGGGGTAGAGTTGCCAGGCGCGTTTTTTTTAATGTGGTGTCGCCACAGAAATAGATACTTCTATTCATATTTACGTTTCTAACATTTCAGATGGAAATGGATATAGTGTAAATACTACTAAGTATCGATTTGTGCAGCCCTAATCCACTTAAACTAACTTACAAACTAATTATATAATATACCTAACTGACCCGAATATAACGCGAAAAGAACCCCCGCGATATTACCTAATATACCACAAAAAGTTCGGTTCTTAAAAATGAAAGAACCTCTCCTCGTGGTAAAGAAGAAAATCAATACAAAATGTGTACTTTATAAAAAAGTAAAATTATAAAAAACGCATAAATTTATAAAAAAGAGCATTTACATGATGTACCCCCCAGATCCACCATGTAAACACTTGGAAAAAACTTCATAAGTTCCCAGCCTATGAAGCTTAAGGACAAATCAAATCTTGTGATTATTAATTAATTAATTTAAAGAAAAGCGCGAAAAATATAAGAAAGGTTCCTTCAGGACGCCACCCTTTTGAGCTCTGAATAAAAGTACGCGAACAACCAGAAAAAAGTACGACCGAAGATTTTAATGTCAAAACGTCCCCTAACCTGATATTAACTAAATTCTACTATAATAGAAAATCTTATCTCACAGCTAATTTTCCTTTCGATTATGTCATATCATCCAATTCAGTTGTAGGCGGTAGTTCAGGTAGTAGTGGTGCTACTTGGTTTTGAGTTGATGTTATTTTCTGCCAAATCTCGTGCAAGACCTAAAAACAGGTAAGCATAGAATTTCATTACATTTATTCGTATGGGTTGCAGAAGTAATTGTTGGTACCCACTTGTACATATCCTTTAATTCGGTAGTGGTCTCTTGGTGGTTCGTGTATATCTTGGTGAAACATATAGACGACATACAATACAATGTCTTCTTTGAAAGACATCTGAAATGAAAAAAAAAAACACAAATGCCCCTAAAAATAGGGGCAAACAAATACACGGGGCCCCGGTTATATTAATAAAAGAATAAATGTTCATAACTAATAATAAGATTAAATTAACAATAATAGGATAAAAACCTTTAAATATGCATATCCTCCTGGCAGTTATTTAGAAGTCCTGGTGCTTTGTGGTGCGAAAAGAAATTAATTCTGTAATCCTGAAATAAAAAAGCGGTTTAGAAAATATAAAGAAAAAAGATTTATACATATTACTTAGCAGTATGCCAATAATTTTAGTGTCTTAGTACATCAATTAGTCTGACCAATTTCTTCTATGGGTTGAGGAAGTAGTTCTTGGTACTCACTTGGTAAGCAATTTTCTTGGAAAGACATCTGAAATGACATAAAAAAATACAAGTGCCCCTAAAAATAGGGGCAAAAATACAAACGGGGCCCCGGTAATAAAAATAAAAATATATACTTATATCTAACCAAGGTCTAATTACTTAATATTAACTTATGAATACGAGAAAACCTGTACGTATCCATATTGAGGTGAACTGAAAGGGTTAAGGATACTCTTGTTAGAGTGCAATGATTGCTATTTGGTATGTTTAGCATCTCACTCCCAAATATGAAGGGTAATTTAACTCTGCATGCCTGAAATGAAAAGTGACTTGAGAACATGGAATAGATGATGAATCATAATCATAAATACTATATGTGGCAGCCTGCTTGTAATCATTCCAGTGCTCTGGTACATCATATAGGTACACATCTTCTCCTGTTCGTTGTTGTAGTATTCAACCTCCTGGTATCTTTAGTCGAGGCCCATTTACACTAAAATAAATGTCAATTTTGTTATTTTTTACATAATTTAGGATTTTGTATCATCTTACCTTTTTTTTAATTTCAAACAGTACGTCTTCAACATTTCTTCGTTTAGAAGACTTATTGTGCAATCACAAAAAATTTAAATTATTTAATTAAAACATTCATTGCATTGCAACAGAAAAATCAGTCAAAATAAAAACAAGTAATCTATTTAACAAAGATTTTAGATTTTTAAACGAGTTATTTACATCCATGCTACTAATAAAATAATTCCAAAAAATTAAATATTGTACATATAATACTAATTAGAAATTAAAGTGTATGGGGTTGCGTTGCTTCTGGGAAAAACATCGCAAGGATCCACACACCGATTGAAAAAAAAAATTATTAACGAAACGCGAATTACTAGAACCTGCCGTGGGGGGTAGGCGACAGGAACACATTTAAACGCGGAAATCGTTTTAAACGATATTAAAATTACGAATAAGTCCTCGCACGAACAAAAAAAAAAATTAAAATGTGGACGCAAATAACTCATAATAATTTAACAAAATTATAAAAAATAATTAAAAATTGTAAATGTGATTGAATAAAAAAAAATTCATGCAAAACACTGTATGAAATCTGAAACAAAACAAATGTAGTCAATCGTAAATATTTTATATTAAACATTTTATATTTATATTAAAATTTAATATTATTTAATTATATTTAAATTTGATAATCTAAAGATTGCATTAAATTATTTATGTTAACTCAAAGGCTAAAATTAAATATTTTCACAACAATAAACACTAAGGCGACACTTTAGCACAAATATATTGGATTAGAAAATGTAACGCAAATCGTTTAATATTAAAGAGACGAATTTTTACTTCAATTTATTTACATTCTTATAATTATAATTCACCAGAAAATCAACTCAAATCGAATCAACCTAAATACAAGTTCCATGACACGTATTTGAAACTGAATGCACGAAATGATTACATAATACATAAATATTTTTTAAAAGACTTACCTCTGACTGTAGTGTCGACCGAAAGGTCCAAATACATAATGATTTTATTTCTTATTACGCACTTCTTTTATTGGGGTCAGAAAGGGACAAAACTATGAATTGTTACCAGATGATATTGAAATTCAAAAATTCAAAAATTGTTATCTAATTGAATAGTTTCGGGTTCGGAACCATAGAGGGTGCAATACGAAAAGTTTATTTTGTACCTCACAATCAGTCATAATTCAACTTTCGTGGCGAGATGGTCGAAATTATTACTGCTAATATTTGCATCTAGTTCTGTTTGATTCATATATTTGATTTGATTGTGAAGTATTATTTGTATTAAATACGTTTTTATTTGTATTTGCGTCTTATTAATTTGTGCGTTTTTATATATAATTGTAAAATAAAACTAGTGGTGTATGGCATCGTGCCTTAAGGCAAATTGCTGGAACTTTCCGTACCGTAATGGAATATTCGAGAAATTTTAAACGGTTTTCAAATATATTGTTACAGATACAGTAACTTTCTTTATTTTTGTTATATCTTGTTATATCTGAGCAAATCAAATATAAATCATAAATCAATTTATCTGCAGAACATTAACAATCGTCATTTCTTTTCTAATTCAATTTCAAAAAAATAATTGCCTAAATTTGCACAAAGTTGAAAAAAGAGCTCCCGTATAGTCACAGTCTAAACGCATTTGTAAATAATTCTGTGCGACATTTTCACTTATACTGTGCTTAGCTTGGCGGCATTTTCACATTTTTCAATAGTTTTTTTTTCACAAAATTGGAACAGTGCAATTACAAAGGCAATTATTTTGTTGAAACAAGCAGAAAGTTCTTTGAATCATCTAAATCGCACGCTTAGTTCTCTTAAAAACTGCAATTTTTTAACATTTAGGTTTGTATCTCCGAAACCGCTGGGCCTACCTTTGCGTCCAGCGTCCGATTTAAATGATTCAAAAAAACTTTCTGCTTGTTTTAACAAAATAATTGATTTTGGAAAAAAAATCTGTTTCAATTTTTTTTCAAAACAATTTTTTTTACTATATCGAAAATAATTCAGATTTTATTTTTGATTCTGACTAAAGTTTTAAAACTCACTTATATACTTTATAAAATAGTTTCAACTTTACAATTCAGTTTATATAATTCTTATAAATATTAGACAATGTTACAGTATTTATTTGTAATAATCTATTTGAAAACATTTAATATTCTTCGAACATTTCGTTACGGTACGAGAAGTTCCAGCAATTTGCCTTAAGGCACAATGCCATACACCCCACTAGTTTTATTTTATTTTATTTCTCACAAAAAAGCTTATTAATTTGATAATAAACATGATACATCACTAAAAATATTAATGAGGCGCCCTTGAATAAGTTTGATTAGAAAACGAATAACATTCTATTTCATAGAGAATTATCTAGATCAAGATCAATCCTTAAAATAAATTGCCGTGACAAAAAAAAATCGGAAAAATTTGCCGCCCCCCAAATTGTGCCGCCCTAGGCCCGGGCCTCACGGGCCTATGGGGTAATCCAGCACTGATAGTGATAATGAATTAATTAAATTGCATATACTTTTGTTACATTATTATTAAAAAAATAAATTTATTGTTAACTTCCCGTAGGGTAAGTTATAGTAATCGCAAAAAAATCGAAAATGAAAATTTTTGCATTTCTCGACGTTTCAAAGGTTTCTGAATATTTTGGCATACCTTAGAAAAAATGGATGTATGTGTGTGTGTGTGTGTGTGTATGTATGTACGTGTGTGTGTGTGTATGTATGTACGTGTGTGTATGTATGTGCGGATACAAATTTTCGTCGACGATTTCGGGAACACGGATCAACCGATTTGAATAATTTAAAAAACATTCGATTCGTATTGATAAGGAGACGTGCTGATTAGTTTTTGGCGAAGGCAGGTCTAGCCGTTCCGAAGATACGGGGCAAAAAGTGCCGAAAACGGTAACTCAGTTTTTAAGAGAACGGAGTGTCCGATTTGAATAATTCAAAAAACGTTTCATTTGTATTGACAAGATGAAAAATCGATGAAATTTTCATGAAGGTAGGTCTAGCGGTTTCGGAGATATGGAGAAAAAAGTAAAAAAATGAGCCATTTGACGGTCAAAAATGATCATTAGACATATGCACGTCAAATTATTAGATATTTTATAGAGATTTTAACAATAAGTATACATTTTGTTAACATTCCTATGGGTTCCGTACCAATGCTTATGCGTTAGACGGCGACGCGGCGCTTACGCGCTTTATATTTTGTCCCTATGCAGTTAAAGCAGTACGATTGCTTTGAAAAAAAGTATCAAACAAAATATGTCAAAATAAAGAAAAAAAATTTTTTTCAAAAAAAAAAAATTAAAAAAAAACTTTTTTTCAAAAAAAAGTAATTTTTTGTCCAATTTATAGTTTCTCAAAAATCTTTTTTTTTCAAAAATGTTAATCGTTTTTAAAAAAATAATAATTTTTGGTACGGGAAGTTCCAGCAATTTGCCTTAAGGTACGATGCCTTAATTGCCTTAAGACAGAATTCCACTTACAGCTAGTTTTATTTTATTGTTTTTATTGTTTATTAACTATATTCAATATGTACGTTTTTTTATATTTGTACTAGTAACTTTCAATTTTGTTTACGTTTGTTTAAGATAATAAAAATACCGGTAACTTACCGGTATTCCGGTTTTAAAATTGAAAATTACCGAAATACCCGTATTGAAATTTTCCATCGATATTGCATAGTCACAAAATTAACTCATTTTTAACGATGTGTATTATTATTATTAATAAATCAAATTCAATCCGATTAATTCCATTCCACTTTCTGATTCCGCTCTGCCGACGTGCACTTGAATTTCTCATTGTTGGCCTCGTATGCACGCAATTTGCACGTTGTGTATAATTCTGTCTGCTCGATAATATATGTAATCATTTTACCAACTCCTCTGGTACTCTGGTACTGGATTATCATCCAGTTGAATTGTACTCATACTCGTACTCGTAAGTCGTAATGCGACCATAAACCGTATACTTGTTACAGACACAGATCACCAGTTAGGACAGTTGACTTATATGGTCAGTCGACAACCACTACTGGAGATATCATTTGAATAAAAAAATGATTATATAGGCACTGTAGAAAATAACTCTGAACAATTTTTCTGCAAAACAGGATCTTCTGATATATTACAAAGTGCTTGCAGAAACTTATTATCAACTGCCGTAAAAATTTATATACTAGCGAATGAAATAATTTACATGTAGGAATAAATTGAAATATGATTAATGATTGTTACAAAATAATTACAACTATGATTACAACACTTTATAATTGAAAGTGGAATGATGATAAAAAATTTTACCTAAGGTAACGTTAACATTGTGCTTAAATTGTACCAAATATGACACTACTGCCGAAATGTATCTAACTTTTAATTAAACTAGTTATGAGTGGCATTTTGCCTTAATAGTGCAGTAAACGGAGAGGAAAAAATGGTATAACCTCTGAATTTTTTTACTGTGCTACAAATTGAATGAAATTTTGGAATTAGGTTAATCTTACCCTCAGGTTCAAAAGTGAAAACAATTCGGTTTGCGCCATCACCTCTCGGGGGGATGACACCCCTTCTCAATTGTGTAATTACATTTTTTTTCAAATTAACGTCGGAAATCGATAGTAGAACTAATAATAAGAAAAAAAATGCCTCTTATAGTTTTAAAAAAAAAACTAATACTTTACTTGTTACTGGCTTCTAAAGATTCATATATTTTTGGCGTTTTTCTTCGTTTTTTTGCAAATATCTCCTAAAATATACATATTAACAAAAATCATGTAATAAACAAAATAATGTCAATAAAAATCTTAATAAATCGGTATCACATAAAGTGTTCTAGGAAAAATATTAAGCAAGATTTGAAAGAGCAAAGTCGTTTTTTATTTCGTTCAAGATTTAATTGTTATATTTAAAGCCATCTAGTGTCGAGGTTTTACATTTTATGCATTTCGGTGAAATTGGGTTTTATGGTGCTCAACATGAGCTTTAAAATGAGTGCTGTTACAAGTTTACTGACATTATTTTGTTCATTACATGATTTTCGTTAAAATGTATAATTTAGGAGATATTTGCAAAAAAA